ATAAGAAAAAAAAATCAAAACAGGAATTCTTTGTTAATTCTTCTACTGGTTTTCTATAGGCTCCATATTATATACACCATCAACTAGAGTAGCCAAAAAGGGAAAACAAAATGAAAAATTACGAGAAAAAGGAGAAAAAAATTGTTTGGGGCTCAGACGGGAATCGAACCCGTGGCCTCTCGCACCCAAAGCGAGAATCATACCACTAGACCACTGAGCCTTACATAACGTAGCGTGGATTTAATTCAGTAAATATACTCTTTTTAAATACTCRAACAATTTTTATCAGAAGTCTCTTTGATTAAACTCACTAAGGATCATTTCGGGTATCCTTTGAAAGAAATGTGACGCAAAAATATSACAAAGAATTACAATGATTGCAATGAAGGTGGCAACGACAATGTTTAGAATCCAGGCTCTCGCAATCATCTAGAACCCAGGCTCTCACAATCATTACAATTGAAACTGAATAAAAATATTTTTGAAAAATTGTTTATTTCTTAAAGTGTAAATACAGTATATATTTTTTACTTAAAAAAAATTAACGTTTTTTATCCAGTGCATTGCCAGGAACAGACCTCTATGATTACAGTGTACCCGCTTTCAATTACAATCAGAGCGAAAAATCTTTAACTACGATAAGAGTGTCAGACTTTAGGGCTTACTGATTGACGTCATAAAATTCATAAAACGATGCTATAGTATTCATCAATCATCAAACATCAGATGTCTTCCCTTCGGCCATCTTGGAAAATTACTTTAGAAACCATAAACTCGAGTTCTTAATGTAAAATCTTATGAATATAATATGATAGGATAACTTGTTAAAAGCTTTTGTTAGGTATTTCATGAGTTCGTGGATGTCGGGCTAGTGTGATTTAATATGGGATCTTGTTTGTTGAGAAGCGTTCTTTTTGCGTCGTTTACCACCACACTTCTTGCACTTTGTTTTTACTCTACAACTCGTGCAAATTTTATGATGGTGCTTGGTACAGTCTTTTCTGTATAGCATCTTTGTTGAGCTGAAGTTTTTACTGCACATCTCACATATGCGCGTAACCTGGCCACTGTGCTTGACAATGTGTACGGACAGACGACTAGCTGTTAGGAATCGTCTAGGACACTCGCTGCACTTGACTCCCAATGGTGCTGGATGTATTTTTCTATGATACCTGATGTCTCTTAGAGTACCCAAATAAGCTCCACAAAAGTGGCATCGTCTAGACAAACGTTTGTCAGTTTTTGTAGGCTTTTCTACGGGAGTACCTTTTGATGTTTGGACATCATTTCTTGCTATTCCGACAACTTTACATCGTGTCGTCTGTGTTCCTGAGGACGACTTAGCAAGAGCATCTGCGGGAATCGATAAATAAGGACGAGGTGTTTCTGATACGGTTACCGTATGATTSACAACAAATTCAACATCATTACAGATAACTTGGAAATCACCCAGATACACTTTGCAGCCTTCTTTTGGTAGTTTAAGAGGCTTAGGTAACGCCAGTCCCACAGAATCTTCTCTTAACGGATTGTCAGCGTTWGAACGATTTTTGGTCTTATAACGTTTAGACATGATGTTCACGGTATCTTCAACCCATTCAAACGATAATGTTACAGCAGGTTGTCTCATCTTGGAAACAACTCTTCTAGWAACRTTTGGACTATGTTCAAAAGCAAACACCTCATTGTCCWCTTCAGGGACACTYGTGTTCAAGAGCTTCGCGATTACTTGAGTGTTGCTATACACAGGGACCCCAAGAAAGGAACATGCACCATTCTCYACTTGAGTATCATCGTCCACGCGAACGGGAACCAGYTTGTAGAAGCTCTTTAAAGACGATGAGTTTCTTCCGTTAGTGGAAGTTACAATTCGCCATGATACGTCCACATAGCTAGCGTGGACCTCCGAGACTTTGACAGGCTGGTGRTGGTGAGGTTGAAAAACTGTTTTAACTGCTGGTTGAATATGATTGACAGGTCGGGTCGGCTGGACGCYGYTATCAGCCAATTGGTGTATTCTTTCGTTGTCACTAMAYATCATAGATCTGGCTGCTGAAGAGCTACAAAGATTAGGCTTGGGAACGGGTGGAGGGGCATGATTCGAACTGGGMTTTAAATTACAAGCGWCCTTRYTACCGCCATTTACTTGAACATTTGCTTTATTCACTAGYTTGGAAGTGTCYTTCTTAACGTCTAATTCAGACAATACGTTGATAAGCCATGCTACAGCCTGTACAGACGARTCYCCTCTTACTGTCTTCCCACTAATGTCTTTCAAAGAATCAGCTATCGATTCAAGGTTTTTCATGTTCGTTTGTCGTGCAGGCGTTGTTTGTTTTACATTCTGAGGGTAAAAAAACATGGAACCACTTCTAACATGTAGACTTGTATCGGAAACAAACTTAATAGTCGAAGCATTATCGGGTGTAACAGTATTTTCGACAGTCTTTGAAGGTTGATTAACGGACGACAATGGAGTTGCCGGTTGAGGAGTGAAAGTAGGGAGATTTACCATGGTTGGCAAATCATCCGGCAAGAGAACCTTYCTGGGCCTTCCACGTGGTCTTTTCACCGTGGATTCTGGCTGTACRCTACARTCACTAGGAGTCAATAAAGATAAGGAGCTGTTACTAAGTACATTCGGCGATGCTGCAGAGTRATTAGTTGACACGCTACCAGAAGAAGGGCAATTATGCTGTTTCGCATCAATAGATTTCTCTGATGATTYTCCAGACATTTCAATATTCAACACGGATTTGCCCGATGTAGTGTTAATGTCTGTGCTTCCTGAAGGTAATTTAGCAGTATTCACGTCTTCACAGTAAAGAAAATAATTCGCTACTCCTGTATCACCAGCGACTTCTGATTCTGGTGGACTTGGTRTGTTAGCAGTAAAACATTTGACTGGAACTTCTTCTTCATCAACTGGAACTTTATGAGTAAAAGTAGGAATATCTTGCCCTTCTTCAGCTCGTGTAGACATTGWAATATGTTCAGATCCAGAATGCRTTGAMGTTTCGACTTCAACTCCTCCATCCAAAGAATCACTAGTAGTTTCATGAAGGTCTTTAGTTGCAGTAAGAAGTAATGGGGGCGATGGTCTAGTGTTACATACGGCATCAATGTTTTCTGACTCGGCCAGATTTCCAGAAGGAGCATGAACTTCATGAGAAGAACTTGCGACATCAATGTCTTGTCCAAGAGAATTAGCACTTTCTGCTTGAACTTCTGTAAACATAGGAASATCTTCGGATGCAGAAATTGAATGTTCGGCCTGAGCTTCTCCTTTCGCAGAATCMTCATCAGCTGTWACAGCAAGGTCTTCAGTTGTCGAAAGACTTACTGGTTGCGATGTATATTTACGAAACTGAGGCGGTATTTCCTTTCTTGGCCTTCCGCGCCCTCGTTTAGGTTTATCTTTAATTTTCTTCTTCTTTTTAGAAGACTTACTCCGTGKTTTTTCTGTTTCAGAGTGATTCTCGGAGTTYCCTTCATTGTTGGAATTATTTGTCTCCTCGWTCAATCCTTCAGCAATGTTTGTTTCTCGATAATAGTGAGCAGAATCACGTGCTTCTTCTGTTGATTTCTGTTGATCATTGTTTAATAGATTTACAGAGTCATCGTGGGAATCATCGGATACRACTTTATCAGTTACAAAAGAGTTATTATTTTTAGTATTTAATTCATTTATTTTGGCTGTGGGACTTGTGATTTGATCTACTATTTCAAGACCATCTCCGTCAGTTGATATTGAAACACATTGTGTCTCAGCACCTAACATAACAACAGCTGGAACATCTTGTGTCGACATAGAAACAGGACTGATTGAATTAGAAGAATCATCGTCAAACTCCTCTGAATCGTCTTCTTGCTCCACAGAATCGTCTTCTTGCTCCACAGAATCGTCTTCTTGTGCCACAGTATCAGTATTTGTTCCTACAGAGACATATCGCGTTGACAAAGGGACAGTATTGTTTGACACTGGGATATCGTTCGTTATCATAGAAACAGTATTGGTTGCCATAGAAATGTTTTGTGTTGTCAAGGAAACATCAGAACCAATAACTGGAAGGTTGGTAATGGTTGTGTTTGATCTTTTCTTCTTTGTTGAAAATATGTCATTTTCATAGTTCTTTCTTTTCTTGTGCATTTCAAGTTCTTGAATGATATCACTGAGGCAATATTCTTTCTCTGACAACATTTCCAGTGAATAAGATGCAGTCATATTAGAGTTGAAGTAGTCTTTTTTTCTAATGGTTTCTGTTAAAATCAAAATTAATAATTATACATAAGAAAGCACGTCAAAGTTTTGTATTGTACAATGATCCTACACTGTATGTCATTTCAAGTTCATTACTTTTTTTCTAAGACAAATGAGGTCATTAATAATTGATTGSCYGAAWTAGATGGCACAACTTTTRCSTACAYTCATTGCATAACACATGCCTAAGTCATCCTTAAGACATGTAAACAACGGTTTTAGGATTATAAAATAAAMATTTTAGTGCTGAGGACAGTTGTAGCCATGTTGCAAAGACAACTTACARAAAACAGGTTGCATGCTATGGTTGTAGACAGATGTTGTGCCATGTAACTCTGCCTTTAAGTTGCTCTTGTATTAAAAAAAATATCAATTTTGATTTATAGAAGCAAAAAAACATCAATTCATAAACAAAACTGTTTCAGATCTAAACCATACTTCAAATGAAGGGAACAGTAACAAGAGGTCAGTCAGTAACAAATCCTGAACAAATCCCAAAACATTAATCTACTGTATATCATACCTTGTTGTTTTGTTGAAGGCTCTTTGATACAGCATGGTAATACTGGTAGACTGGTGATCTTAGACTTTGGACACTGAGGATTAACATTTCATTCAAAAGTCAGTGTACTTGCAATGCTTCTGTCATAAATATCCATAGCAAACTGACCAGTCAAAAATCAAATGTATTGAACAAGTAAAAGAACTATTGTAAAATCCCATTACTATCTGTTGAAGGTCAAATAATCTACAATGTGGACTCTAATACACCTTTTCTGAAATAGCATTATACCTTGCATTCCGTASCAGCATCTTTTGCTCCACTGTCAAATATGATATTGTTTGCAATGAAGCTTGACCATAATTCACCATGATTTTGCATTTCAGAAAAGGTCTATTACCGGTAAAAGTGAAGTAGTACTTACAAAGCAGTTCTTRGTTGTCCATTTTTGCTGCTTTGTGATCTTATTGCAATAATACAACACTTCATTTTTCTTTGACAGGACAGTAAACCACTTTGTATCTGCTTCTTCCATTGAGATGCAGTAATCTTGAAAAAGGTTTGWCAAACTGTAGATCTAATACAATTATAGAGAAAAATTTATTAAAAATACAATTTCGATTTGTATATTTGACAGTTAAGTTACATTTTCCTTCTATGTGTGCTATAAGTTAATTTCTTATCATATTTTTGAACATATTGTGAAATTTGTTTTCAAAATTACAAATAAGAAGAATAAGAACTTTAATGCTTATGTACATTATATGAAACTGTCTCTTCAACTAAATTGATGAAAAAAACTYGATGAAATGAAGATGGCACTACTTTGTATGCAATGATAAACATGCCTCAGAGCAGCTCCAAATTTGCATCAAAAGCTCTGATCTCAGATATAATATTAAAATTCATATTAGAATAAAAAGTTCTACAACACTTAGATAAATGTCCTGATGATCAATAACTCTCGAATGCATGATCGGTTTGGTTTTCAAACAGCAATAAATACCGACCATGTGTTGCGGTGGCAAAACATATGTGCTAATAAGGTGGCAGTAAATAAAGATGTTTCGCCTACGAAACTTAACTTTTAACRCGCTAAATTAACTGCACAGCTTTCTTACCTTATAATCTACGATTCCAATTGTAGAGAAGAGAGATTATAGCGACGAAACAGCAGTATTTTCTATTGTTCAGCACCCACGATCCACTTCGCATTTCACCGCCGCCATTCACACTCAAGACAAATTAGCTACCAGGCCTCAAAAATGATCTGCTTGAACACAGGAAACCCAAGGAAGATGGAAAAATCACCCAGCCAATAAGACGAGGGTGATTCATCGAAGACTTTTTTTAATCTTTTTATTTTATTTCATTCGGATTGATCACGGTTGTTTTTCATGAATATTAGAACATATGCCCTTCAAGAACTTTTCGCCTAGCATGTTCATTAAGTCTAAAATATTTTATATTTTATATTTTAGACTTAATGAACATGCTAGGCGAAAAGATCAACCTATGTTTAAGCACTTAGTAGATTGTACTCTGTTCAGTGATATAGTGAGTCTCATGGGATTGCCCACCGTAAACGATGAGCACTCAGTCATGGTTGACTTCGACGCGTATATTTATAATGCAGTTCACGGGAACTTTGAAGTCATTGACACGAGTGACAACTGGTCCCGGTTGGAATTCCTCGAGGCCTATTACATCAAGAATTTACGCCCGGGAATTAACGACGGCTTGAAAGCCTCTAGAGAATTAAACTTGTTTTAAATACGATTGCAAAATTGTAAAATAATTAACATGATTATGGTTCTGAATTAAACCGAAATATTGTTGAACAACGTCTCGTTTATAATCCAAATTTTGGATTTTACGATGTTATCCTTCCTCGGACTCGTTTTTGTCATTCTATATGTCAAACTGTCAGATCGTAATGGATTTTAAAATAATTCAAGGTGGTATWTTTTATGAACACATAGCGAATTCACGTTTTTGTACCATCACTCATGTCATTTGTAGTTAATAGGTCCAATAATATTGAAATTATCCACCCCACGGAAGGTACAAGAAGCCCGACACAGGCTACGCGATGAGACTATATGGGTCTAAAGTGACATCCTATCGCGCAGAAATTTTATCTGAACGATGATTAACACAGATTATCGTCTTTATCAGGATGTACTGGTGGCATTGCAGGAAGTGTTTCCTGGACTGGATGGATTTGTCTTTGTATGGTATTCTGCCAGAATCGAAACTCTTGTACGAACCACAGTAAAATAGTAAAAATCGGAACTATATTCATTGGCATTGGCGTCTATTGCAGACGCTTTCATGGGAGGGAAGGTGTGACCGACTCTAATAACGTCTGCAAAGGAGGTTAGGAATTCATGAGCTTTCCGCCGACAAAACAATGTCTGCAAGGTCTGTCTAGTCGGTATAACTTTGGGAATTAATTTCAGGCGTTACCACGAATTTGCTAACTTTCAATCATCAATTTCTGGTGATCCTCGACCAATCACAGCAARGTATCTAATTGTCGGGTTCTTATTCCATGATTATATAACACCAGGGATCATTACACTGACTGACTACACGACGACGATCAATGCATGTGTAATGGTGAAAAAACACATGTAACACTGTACCTAGTGTACAGAGGTAAGGATTTTTATGATACTAATAATGTACTTCAGCAGTAATAGGGAGTATRGATTSACACGGGGAGATTCAGGCAGCTTTTAAAGATCACGTAGATTTAATCGCGTGYCTCAAACCTGCTACGAAAGTTACTGCATCAATCAATACGCTARCTTTCTAGTTTTATYAACTCATACRTACCGCATGAAAAGCTTCARCAATTGAGTAATTTTAGGCACAATATTCAGTAGAGCTGTTCTTGAACTTGTGAGACTTGTGAGCTTGATTTCTTTCTTCGGGTGTGACTARCAGCCTTCATCTTGCATTCCATGRTTTTTCASTKTTCTGCCAGTAAARATATCTTCATCAAATTARATTCGAACGAGTGATCAATGATCACTCCAKGCCCAAYATWTCATGATCAASGATTCCATTACTCATCAGTTAACGTTCCTAAAAATCATCCATTAATCCTTTAATAACACACAGATTATAAATCAATTATCATGTCTAACAATTCATTTAATGCAAGATACAAACATGGAGATTAATGGTGACAGTCGTAGATCGAATTTGGCCACTTTAAAAACGACATTAGCTTCTCCCTTGACGACTCCTAGCCGGCCCCTCTGGAGCCTGGATGCGGCACTGATGATAGATCGACACTGGTACAAGTTGACAATGGATTACGCATGCCCATCTCGCATCAATTACCGCTTACACCCTGCGCTTTCTTGTTAATCCGGGTAAAATAGTAAAGCTCGCAAAAAATGATTATATTGCTGTGATAGCAGATGGTGCGTACAAAAATAGTATGATGCGTCTATGTTTATGAGTTTATACATCCTTCTTATTGACTCGAAATGATCCGCGAGAAAGATTTTCGGCGTAGTTTGACATGCGCACTGCAGTATGCGAGTTCATTCTGTGCGTGATTTTAGAGTACTCGTTATCAAAGGCCGATATCAGACTATAGCTTTTAAACTAAATWATAGTATTTTGAAGTTCTGACAATGTTAACTTTCAAGAGTTGGTACATTATGTGAATACAGCGCGGAAGAGCTTGCGAAAACAAATATTTCGTAATAATGCATGTACTTATCACAAATTCACGATTTCAATTCAGTCTTTAAACACGTTAACGTAAGTCGTACTCATTCACTTGTGTAAGCAATTAAACAGTGATTAAGAGCTACCTCATTTAGTCACGTACGGGCGCATTTCAAGCATAAATATAATACACTTATCAGGTTAGAACACAGAGAGCATATTATGGTGCTMTTGGTTACACGCACAGTTTAGTACTGCATAGATTAATCAGTAGGACGTGAGATAGAAATCCATTTCTTTCTAGTTTTTGATTTCAAATGTATATTTCTTATCTTCTTTCTCCACGTTGTCTTCTCCTTGACAGTTATGGTTACATCTCTTTGCTTGTCTGTATGCATACACTTTTCAATTTTTTTAGCATTATTCTCTCAGTAGACTCTCAGTAGTTTCTTTATCCTTTTCTCTTTTTCTCCTTTTTTTCTCCTTTCTCAGTCCGACACTGTCTAATATTGCTGCTTTTGAACAATTTTTACTATTATTCTTTCATTTTTTTTCAATTTCCCTTTCTTTCTATGGCTTTCACTCCTTTCCTAATTCTGCTTCAAGATTTCCCTTTCTTTTCCATTTGCCCTGTTATTTGACTTAGTCTTTCTTCAAGTTAGAAAAGAAGTTAATATGACATCAGACTACCTGTAAGTACACTTAAAAGTGTGAACTTTGCGCGAAGTTTATCTTCAAATTTGATAGCTGAACAACTAGTTTATAGCGTGAGAATCTTGGCGCCTTGTAATAGGCTGCCTGAGGCCATAAGATAATGATTGACAGGACGCCCCCTCTCAAGAGAAAAAAAGATTAGCTGTGAATCGAATAAAAACATACTATCTCGATGAGTATTGCATATATATGAATTGCTGTTTGGGAAGTGATAAAGATCAATTTTAAAGGGAGAGAGAAACAGTGGATGTAGAAGAAAAATCTGGAATTGTTAAATTTGCAAATGTAGTTCTATTTTGCTAGGAAACTGTTTAGACATTGTGTTTTCACTGATTGATTAAAAAAACATATCAACATGTGCGCAAAGCAGAGTTTTTGTTTGTCAATGTGGACTTTTGCGCCAGAYTTGTTCTAATGCATTTTTAATATCGTCGCCTTTATGTTTGTTTTTATATTTTTCTTTATAATAGCCTTTTTTCATTTTTTCAATTGAATTTTTCAAACTGAAAAAGATCAATTTTTTTTAAATCTTTAACTTGTCGAGCGATTTCCATCTTAATAGCTGACATCGTCTAGACTTTTAAGAGCACCAACCTCTTGTTGAGAGCTTTTTCGAAATTTTAAAAGTCTTGCAATAGTGCTTTAATCTATTCGATATACTGGTTTGAAACTCTATGTAACATGAAATATGGATGATAACGACAACAAGAAAGCTTAAGGTATTATTGAAGCAATATCTACAACTGGATAGTGACGTCACCACTGCAAGTACCAGATTAAACCAATGATCGAACTTGTTGACAATGATAAAATAGTCAAAAATAGATTTATATTTCATGACCACGTAATTACCAMAAGCCACAAAGATGTACAGATGTGGGTGCTGTATTTGAAGAAGTCATTAACAAACGCTAGTACTTATAAAGGTGCAACCCAGAGATTCACAATACCCGTCATTTATGAAARYAGTGTGCGTTTWTTTGTAGATTATACCGAGRCAACGTTTGCGAATAAGGTACACTAGCCGCGGTGTATAGATCTCTCTTTTGGTACCATCAAGGTAAGAAGGCTGATTATCAGTGTATATTGAGTGCTTTGCATTTGTCGGTGGAGAACTTCGACTACGTCGCGCGCGTATCAATCGCAAGTATCAATATTATCAGGAAAGCCTGATTCAAATTCTTTTCACTGTGCCCTACGGTGATGACAAAATGGAAAACTTTGAGATCATYAATAATTCCTTCCCACCGCTCGTACAGATGTTCGTTTATGCGCCAATATGACTTAAGCCATTTGAAATTRCTTGAGCATTTATCAAATGAAAATTATACTAAAAATAGACCATTTATGAATTAGTGGAATTTATWAAAAAACAAAAGAAGATGACTCTTTTCTCTCCCAGTAATTGTTTGTAGYTAAATCGCTAAAATGTTCACCCTCATATTTCAACTATTTTTCAAGCTAATGCTATAGAGGCGACATATGTCACATCTCAACTACTACTGTAATGAATATTGTATGAACCAATTTGCTCGTTGAGATGTTTATACTGTAGCTAATATGTTTGGTAAAA